TGTGTGTGGGGGGGGGGAAGGAAGAAGGATGAAAGGAACGGGGAGGAAGACTTGTCATACGGTTGTGCCTCCCACTGGGTGCGGCCTCTGCCCACCACCACCCCTTTGTGGGCATATATATCTGCATGTGTGCACCGCTCCCTGGTTCGTGTTGGGACGTTTTTGCGACTGTCGTTGACCGTTCCACTGTCAAGCTCTGCGTCTCTTCTCTTTTTTTTATCTTTGTTGCCGCGTCTTGTGACGGACCGCGTTCCACCACACAGAGCTTGCAACCTTTTGCTAGAGCTTACACGCTGTTTGTTTGTTTTTGCTTGGAAGACCCGGCAGACAAGGATGACAACAATGCGCCCGCCCCTGATCGCCACGGTGCCCTTGCTGTTGTTGCTGCTGCTGTGCTGCGCCACCGGCCGCCTCGCCGCCTTTACCGCCGCCCGTCCCACCACTGCCACTATGCACCGATGCATGTTCGATGAGATGATGGCGAGGAGCGACTCACGCTCAGTCAAGATGGTGCAGGAGTTACCCCGAAAGGGCCAGAGTGCCTGGCGAGCGTACACCGCCTCCACAGGAGTAGAGGGGACAGGGGATTGGGAGCCCGTCCGCATCGTGGTGTCCAAGCTGGATCTGGACGACCCAAACAAGTACTGCACTCAAGAAGGACAGCAGCGTCCAACGTTTCAGGGCTACGCTGGCGAGTGCCGGGAGGACGACGTCCTTACCAGTCGGAAAAAGGCTGAGCTGCTCCAAACTATCCTCCCATCAGCCATCAAGTTGCACTCGGAGCGCCTCCTCGTGCAGCGCATGAGTACTTCGTTGGTTGTGCCCGTATCCATCCGTCAAACGCAGTGCAGGCATTTCACCGTGCCTGTAGAACACCACACGAACGGGGTTCCGGACGCAGACACAGTGCTCTATTTGGCTGCTGGGCCGTCTGCAATCTTCGCCGTTCCGTGCGTCACGGCCCATAAGAACAGCCGTCCTACCGTCGGCGCCATGAATTTTTATCTTTCTGGCGTTTTCCACCCGTGGTTCGCCGTCCGCGTCGCTGCACACGAACTCGCGCATGTGCTTGGGTTCAGCTACCAACAGATGGAGGCCAAGGGTGTGGTGCGCACTCTCACCACTGGGGACTATGCGTCAAAGTCGGGGATGGTGACCTCCACGCTCACAAAGAAGAAGGCGCAGGAGCACTTCAACTGCAGCAGACTTGAGGGCATGCCCCTGAGGGACGAATACGACGATGCATCACGGCCGCACTCACACTGGGATCAGCGGTACGCGAAGGACGAACTGATGGGGCCCACGGTTGCCACTGGTGCCGGCTTCTACACCGCGCTGACGATGGCTGCGTTTGAGGATATGGGCTTTTACAAGGCGAACTTCAGCATGGCGGAGCCGATGCGCTGGGGCAAAGACGTCGGATGCGAGTTCGTCGATGAAAAGCAGTGCAGGCCGGACGACCACACCAAGTTTCCCGCGATGTTCTGTCAGAAGAACTACAGTGACACCATGTCGTACTGCACAAGCGACCGCGTTGCCTTGGGCCAATGCAGCTCTTCGTGGAACGACGAGTGCCTTTTCATCCGCTCGTTACCTTTTGGCTCATGCCGCAATGAGGAAAACACGGCTCTGCACGGGAGCCGCCTGGGCGCAGGTTCATGGTGTCTCGACGCGGAGTCGCTCAAGGTGAACGTGGAGACGTATGACCCGGAGCCCATGGTGGTTGCTGTGGCCGCCGTCTGCGCGGAGGTGGCGTGTGCCAGGGGTTCGGTCAGGGTCCGTTACCTCGGCGACAATGACTGGTACGACTGCCCTGAGGGCAGCTCTCTCTCACCTGCGGGCACATCCGTTGACTTTGCGAGCGGCAAGATCAAGTGCCCCAAGTACGACGAGGTGTGCACCATCACTCCCACCGGCAGGAGTGGTGTCACGCGCCACCGCGGCGACGATGACGAGTTGGCCACGGGGGACAATTACCTCTCACATGGACTGCACCGTGAGTCCCGATGTCGGCAAGGACCTCGTGAACGCAGGCGCCCCGAGCTGCCCCCCGAAGGAACTGAGCCGACGATGAAGTGAGAAAGAAAAGGACCAACGGGGGTGGAGAGAAGAACGTGGGCGCTAACGTGCCATCGCCTGGGGAGCACACGGATGGTGCTGCCGCCACTGATCTTTGCTCCTGTGCAGTGTTGTTACTTGCGGTGGCTACAGGCATTGGGGCCCTGATGTCTCGCTAGGAAGCTGCCGCGAGCACGGCGTGCACGGGGGCTTCAACGTGTTTTATGCGTTACAGAACTCGAAATCTTTGCTTTGTGCAGCAAACGCTTTGAGGGCGGAGGAGGGCGTGCACCAATTTTTTTATCAGATGATGGACCCACCGCACGGACGTCGCCCCATTCCCCGCTCGCGCGTCGCTGTTTGCAGCCGCAGTTAATATCATGTGGATGAACCGTGTTTTTGTTTTAATATGTTTTTTATTATTATTATTATTTGGGGGAAGGTCTGTTTTTGTTTGTTGCTTGGGAAGGATTGGTGGCGGCACGGCAGAAGGGGTTCCTCTGCGGGGGGAAACGTGAATGGGGGACGCGCCTCAGTTGGGTCCATCTCTTTGCTTTTCGTGTGTGTTTTGCTTCGGGGAGCGTGGGCGTATGACGAGGGGATGCGTCCCCTGTGGGTGTCCGCCGCGGCCCCGCACCCATTAAAAAGGGGAAATATACATTTGCGTGTGCGTGTGTGTGTGGAGGACGGGACGATTGCGCGGAACTGGAGGTGCGAAAGCCGTCGTCGTTTTGGCTCGCGGTCTCTTTTTTGTAGTTCCCCTTCTGCAAATTCCATTTTTGAAACTGCACCCACCCTTCCCTTTTCCTTCTTCTGCTGCGGACAAGCTCTGTGCTACTAATACGGTTATTTGCAACAACCCAACACACACACACACACACACACTCTCACCTCACGCCATGCGCCGTCTACTTCACGCTACGCCGTTTCTCTCACTGGCGGTGTTCCTACTGCTGTTAATGTACGGCGCCGGTGGGTGCCTCGCCGCTGCAGACCGCCGTGCGTTCGACGAGGTGATGGGGAGCGTCCGGCCGTCGGCGACCGCGGTGCTGCGTGAGCTGCCGCGCAAGGGACAGGGCGCGACGCAGGCGTACACCGCCACCACAAAGGAAGATGACGGTGACTGGAAGCCCATCCGCATCACGGTGTTGACGGAGGATCTGAAGAACGATAATCAGAGGAGGTGGTTGAAGAGGTACTGCGAAAAGGTGGGGGAGGAGTACACCAACTACTTGGGGCACAAGGTAATGTGCAAAGATGAACACATTGTGTCGGAGCAAAAGAAGCAGTTGTACGAGAAGAAGATTATCCCCATGGCAGTGAAGCTGCACGCGGAGCGTCTGCTCGTCAAGCCCGTGGCTGACAAAATACGTTTTCCGAGATCTTTTGGAGAACCATGCCAGCACTTTAAAATTCCAGCTGAACACATTGGGGATGGTGTGACTGGTGCCGACATGGTCATCTACGCTTCTGCTGGGCCGTTCAGCTACGACATTCCGGTGTGGGGGGCCACGTGTGCCACGTTGACTGACTTGCGCCCTTCCATTGGCATCATGGATTTCAACCCGGTGTACCTGACTGATTCGGCATGGAGCGTTCGTGTCGCTGCGCGTGGGCTTGCGTATGCTCTTGGGTTCAACTATGAGACAATGAATCAGAAGGACATAGTGAAGTCAGGGCCGACCGGGCGTGGAGCACAGCGCAAGATGGTGGTCGGAGAAAACGTTCGAGCGAGGGCGGCAGCGCACTTCAACTGCCCCTCTCTGAATGGCATGGAGCTGGAGAACGACAATACCGGCGCGCAATGGAAGATGCCTCACTGGGAGGAACGCAGTGCCCGTGACGAACTGATGGTTCTCACAGTCGGCGCCGGCTACTACACGGCACTGACGATGGCGGTGTTTGCCGACCTGGGCTACTACCACGTGAACTGGAGCATGGCGGAGCCGATGGCGTGGGGCAGCAACACCGGCTGCGACTTCCTGACGAAGAAGTGCAAGGACACCGAGGACCCAGCTAAGAAGTATCCTCACATGTTCTGCGATGAGAAAGACAACACGACGCTTCGCTGCTCTTCTGATCGTCTTCACGTCGGCACGTGCACCGCATACGTCGTTGATGCGCAGGGGGCCCCGAGCGAGAAGGATGTGTGCCACATCATTTCGACAAAACTTTACGACGAGTCGTCTCGGAAACTGTCCAATGCATGTGTGGAGGCAAGTAAGCAGACCCTTCCAGGGTCGCTGATTGGGAGTGGCTCGTGGTGCCTGGACGCGGAGGCGCTGCAGGTGAAGAAGGAGGGCAGCGGTAAGAACATCGCAGGAGCGTGTGCGCAGGTGAAGTGTGAGGGTGGCGCAGTGAAGGTGAAGTACCTCGGCAGGAGTGATTTTGAGTCGTGTCCCGAGGGAAAGGAAATCACGGTGACGGACTCGGATGATTTCAGAGCGGGAGGGAAGCTCAA